ATTTCTTTTCTTTTTTTTTTTTTAAGATTTTATTTATTTATTTATTTATGTATTTATTTGAGAGAGAGAGAGAAACAGCATGAGAGGGGAGAGGGTCAGAGGGAGAAGCAGGCTCCCCGCTGAGCCAGGAGCCTGATGTGGGACTCGATCCCAGGATTCCAGGATCATGACCTGAGCCGAAGGCAGTCGCTTAACTAACTGAGCCACCCAGGCATCCACCACTGTTCATTTCAACAGCCAGAGTGATGCCACTTTGTCCTGCTTTCCATAGTGTGCCCCTTATATAAGAATTTACTTGGAGGAAGAGTTCTACAGCTAAATGAATATTAAAAGCATAGAGCATGATCTTTTTTCTATCCTTCCATTTTCCTTAAATTTGAAATTCAAGAATACCTGATTCCTATTATGACTGAGTCCCTCAGAATTTTCTCAGAAGTGTACACATTTAAGTTTTTGCTTTCCAAAGGATAATAAAAGATAGGATTTTTGTTTGTTTCTGTTTGTGCATTTATTATTTTTTTCCTTTGGTAGCTCACATTTCTTTTTTCACCCAACTCTGGTTCATATGATTTGCTTAACCAAAAATTAAGATGTCCATATGCGATCTGTGTCTGGACTCCCAAATTGCACCATATATGTTGTAGAGCCTGGATTTTTAGGTATTTATTTATTTATTTATTTTTAGAGAGAGGTGGGGGAAAGAGGAGCAGAGGGAGAGGGAGAAAGAGAATCTTAAGCAGGCTCCACGCCCAGCACAGAGCCCTACTTGAGCCTCGATCTCACGACCCTGAGATCATGACTTGAGCTGAAATCAAGAATCATTCGCCCAACCGACAGACCCACCTAGGCACCCCTGGATTTTTAGGTATTTTTAGAGAATGATTTTCAGAAAGCTGAACAGCTTAAACTATTTCATTAAAATGAGTGCATTAGAAACCAGAGTGCTTCTTGAACCTTTAAATTTAACCTTCCTTTGACATGTTTTCTCGCATTGTTATGGTTCCATGCTGTCTGCAAGAGTGAAGCATCTTGAAACAGATTGTGAAAAAATACGAAGACCCATGTGATACAATGTTGGGTTAGAAAAAGAGACTTTATACAAAGAAAAAAGAATACTAATGTCCTTAGGTTATATGAAACTGGTCTGACTGAAAGAAGCTCAAATCTTGCCTGACACATTAGGAATGAGCAATATTGTGGTTTGTTTTGTATACAGATATAAGTGAGAGTGTTTCTTTATACCTAAGATGAACTAAGTTAAGCCAGGATCTTTAGAATCCCAAATTATTCAATTTGATGGAACTAAAGGATCAACTTTGGAAATCATCTCCATCTATTAGCAAGTTTTGCTCACTGAATAGTTTTTATAAGTTTGTATTTTTTAATTCATTGTAGAAAATGAATGGCCTCTTCTGATATTTTTGTTTCTTGATTTGTGTATAGATTTCACAGTTCAACCTGGAGACCGATGGAGTCTAGAGGTGGGACAGGTGTATGTCATTACAGTAGAAGTGTTTGATAGAAGCAGTACAAAGGTCTATATTTCAGATGTGAGTGTCTCTTTTGTATTCTTCTAGCCCCGTGTATGGATAACTTCTTGAGTGGGCCACCCTTTCTGGCTAGGAAGCCTTTTTTTCTTTTGCTTCCAGACTTTTCTTTTAAAGTTACTACTTTATTATGATTATTAAATAGTTCTGTCCTTGAGGAAAGCTAAACTGGAAGTAAAATATATAATTTGGTCAGAATTATATAAAAGAGTTGAAGAGAAGGCCAAAACACTTGGGAGGATGTCTCATTCTAGGACTCCCTCAGAGCTGGTCACCTGTTTGGCAGTGGTGCAAGGAACAGTGGAGTCCCAGACAATAGTGCTGCACTCACCCTCCAGTGCCCTTTTGGGTGTTTTCCCTGAAAAATGTCAACTTATGGAATGGCAAAAATTATACCAAAATTTATATAAACTTCGACTCAGTTTCTATTTTTGATCACTTGCTGTTAAGTGGATCTCTCAAGTAGCATTTTAAAATTACATCTTTCCAATTTAGGATCTCCATGAGAAGAGCTGAGGTTTTGTTTTTATTCATCCCCAGAGTACATAGCCACACTTTTTATTTATTTTTTAATGCTTTGGGATTAAGATGGCTTTAGGGGAAAAACAAACAAACAAACAAACATCTCCTCAGTTTTGTGTTGCTATTGGGCTAATTTTCAGAATCTCAGGATTATGTACCAGTTCCTAAGGGAGTACTTTGAAGAGCAGCTCACTACTGTGAATGGATCTTACCATGTAGTAAAAGCCCTGAAAAGTGGTGTCGTGGTGATAAATGCATCCCTGACTTCCATCATTTACCAGGTAGGAATTAAAAGGACAGTCTTTGAATCCCAAGAACACTGATGGGGCTTGGCTGACTTGTTGATTTGTAGGCAGATACATGGCATATTCCAGCTTTATCTTTCATAAAGATGAAAAAGAAACTGATAAACAGTATACTTGGTGGTTTATACCTGTACAGATTTTCTGCTGCAATCTTTGTTATTGCTCATGTCTGCATTTGTGGTCATTGTGTATATATACCATTTGAAGTTCCTTTAAAAAATTATTTCATGTGCACATTTCCATGTGTTGTCAGGCTTACATAGAGTACTTTCTAGTCTGAAAATCCAAAGGGTTAATATATCAATTTATTTAACCATGCCATTAACAATGAACTTTTTGCATTATTTCCATTTTTCACTCTTGTAAATGCCATAACTGAGTTTCTTTGTACAATTATTTTTCTTTTGGTTAATTTTCATATGGTATAATGTCAGAAATGGAATTACTGGGTAAAAGGATAAAGTATGAATCTGTTTCTACTGTCTCTAAAATGCATGAGTTTCTGGTTTTTAATAGCCTGCCAAATTACTTCCATTCTCCATGGATCCTTTCATCTGGTTGTTTAAGGTAAAACCCCAACGGTGGTCCTTCCTTCCCATCACCTGCTACATTCAATTCAGTACAATATCGAATGCCGTGTCAGTTCTGAATATCTCTCAAACCCATTTCTTAGTATCCCCACAGTGTCTTTTTTTTTTTTTTTTTTAAATTTTATTTATCTGTTTGAGAGACAGAATGAGAGAGAGAGCACATGAGCGGAGTGAGGGTCAGAGGGAGAAGCAGAGTCCTCGCTGAGCAGGGAGCCCGATGCGGGACTCGATCCCAGGGCCCCAGGATCATGACCTGAGCTGAAGGCAGTCGCCTAACCAACTGAGCCACCCAGGCGCCCCAAGAAATGAACGGATTTCTATATATTGATTTTGTATTCTGCAACTTTACTGGATTCATTTATCAATTCTGGAAGTTTTTTGATGGGATCTTTCGAGTTTTCTGTATATAGTGTCATGTCATCTGCAAATAGTGACAGTTTTCCTTCTTCCGTACCAATCTGGACACCTTTTACTTCTTTTTGTTGTCTGATTGCTGTGGCTAGAACTTCTAATATTATATTGAATAAAAGTGGTGAGAGGGGCTCCTGGGTGGCTCAGACGGTTAAATGTCTGCCTTCGGCTCAGGTCATGATCTCAGGGTCCTGGGATGGAGTCCCACACGGGGCTCCCTGCTCGGCGGGAAGCCTGCTTCTCCCTCTCCCTCTGCTGCTCCCCCTGCTTGTGCTCTCTTGCACGCACTCTCCTGCTCGCGCTGTCTTTCTCTCAGATAAATAAATAAAACCTTGGGGAAAAAAGTGGTGAGAGTAGACATCCTGCTTTTGTTCCTGAGTTAGGGGAAAAGTTCTCAGTTTTTCCCCATTAAGGATGATGTTAGCTGTGGGTTTTTCATAAACAATCTTTATTATGTTAAGGTATGTTCCCTCTAAACGCACTTTGTTGTGGGTTTTTATCATTAATGGATATTGTACTTTTTCAAATGCTTTTTCTGTGTCTATTGAAATGATCATATGGTTCTTTTTTTTTTTTTTTAAGATTTTTATTTATTTGAGAGAGAGAAAATGAGGGGCTGGGGGAGAGAGAGAATCCTTAAGCAGACTCCACTGAGCATGGGGCTTGACGTGGGGCTCAATCACACCACCCTAAGATTATAACCTGGCTGAAATCAAGAGTCAGACACTTAACTGACTGAGCTACCCGGGCACCCCTCATTATTACTGAACTATAGTAGCTGTGTTTCTTTAATGAGTAGGAACATTTATTTACTTCTTTTATAGAAAGAAACTGGTTGAGTAATTCAATAGCACACCATTTTGCTGATGCTTTGAATATAAATGGATTATAAAAACAGTCCTTATAAAATCTATTTTGCTCCTTTTTTCTGCTCTTATAGAATAAAAATATTCAGCCTATAAAATTTCCAATCATACATCAGCAAGAAGTGAAGATTTATTTTCCCATCAAGCTTACACCCAACTTTCTGGCATTTCCTCATCATCCTATGGGAATATTATATCGGTATAAAGTACAGGTATGGTGTCCTATTATATGAGGATTTACAAAGAGATAAGTCAGTTTCTCTGTTAATTTATTGAAATTTGCTTAATGTTAATTTTTATCTCCCCCTGATCCTAATAATATAATTCAGTTTCTGGTGATAACTAAGTCATGTTCTTGAATACTATCATCCTAACAAGACTTGCTGTACTTTCTCTCTTCCTCGTATCCCTTACTTGTGACTTTTGTAAAGTTTTTGTCAAGCTCCCTTGTGCTCTTTTTGACATTTTGTGATACTGCCAATTACATAACCTCCTTTCATTTTCCCTTGCCCATTTAGCTACTTTACTATAGCATCACAATTTTTTTTTTTAAGTTTTATTTATTTAAGTAATCTCCACACCCCAGGTGGGGCTCAAACTCACAACCCCGAGATGAAGGGTCACTCTCGACTGAGCTGACCAGACACCCCAGCATCACAGCTTCTTAATATGTCCAAAATAATTTGTTATATAGTTTTATTATTATCTTATTTATTTTTAAGATTTTATTTATTTATTTGAGAGAGACAGAGAGAGCATGAGCTGAGAGAGGGAGGAGCAGACTCCCTGTTGAGCAGGGAGCCCAGTGCGGGGCTTGATCCCAGAACTTTGGGATCATGACCTGAGCCGAAGGCAGATGCTTAACTGACTGAGCCACCCAGGCACCTTATTTATTTCTTATTTCACCAGATTTTACATCTTTACTTAAATTCCATTTTCCTCTTTGGCAGTTAAATATAAAGTTGTATTTTTTCACAGGTAGAGGGTGGCAGTGGCAACTTCACTTGGACCTCTTCTAATGAAACAGTGGCCATGGTGACCACTAAAGGAGTGGTGACTGCAGGTCAGGTCAGGGGGAACAGTACTGTTTTGGCCCGAGATGTACAAAATCCCTTTCGATATGGAGAAATTAAGGTAAACAACTCTCCAAAGAACCTTATTATAACCCCTGAGACATTACTGTCTAAATATAAGTACAGAACATGTTTTAAAAATCTTTCTAGTCCAAATTGGGTAATTGAAAATGATGCTCAAATTCAGTCTGGAAGTTCATCTTCCTTAAATATTCCTGGACCTGTGTTGAATCCTGCTTCACTTAATAGTGAGTTACTGAATGGGTGTTTTGTTTCCTTGTCTCTAAAATGGGGATAATGATAATATCTACCTCAAAGTGTTATTGTCAGAATTAAATGAGATAATGTTTTACCTCAATGCTTGGAATATATTCAATACTTAATATTATTTATTTTTGTTACTGTGTTTTGTCATTATCATATATATGACCTTCATAGTAACTTTATTTCTGATCTCATATTTGTTTGTCAGTCTGTTCCTAAAGATTGAAAACTCCTTTTCACTATATTATATAACCACATTACTGTTTTTCCCCCACTTCTAATATATGTTCATGTATGTTGTTCCCTGAAAAACTTAGTGTTTTATTATCATTCAGTTAACATTTACTGAGTACCCTTAAGACATTTACTACCATACCAGGTATCATAGGACATTCAAAGAAACATAACATATCATCTCTACTTTAAAGAATCTAAATTCTGATAGGAAGATCTAGTCACATGAAGTTAAATAACACTTTAAGGAAATGATGTGAGTTATTTTAAAGCAGTATATGATTGAGAGCTACTTAAATTGTATAGTAAAAGTATTATAAAATAAAAATCCTTGGGGGCACCTGGGTGGCTCAATTGGTTGAGCGGCTGCCTTTGGCTCAGGTCATGGTCCCAGGGTCCTGGGATCGAGTCCTGCATCGGGCTCCCTGCTCAGCGGGGAGCCTGCTTCTCCCTCTCCCTCTCCCTCTGCCTGCCACTCTGCCTACTTGTGCTCTCTCTGTATTTCTGTCAAATGGATAAATCTTAAAATAAAATAAAAATCCTTGTAGCTGTGACTAATCAGAGACTATTATGAAGAGATGAGAACTTGAACAAGACTTTGAAAGATAGAGCCAAACTAAGACCTAAGAGTCACAGTCAACCTGCTGTTTTTTTGATAAAGTTTTATCAGAACACAACTGACCTCATTCATTTATATATGGTCTCTAGCCACTTTCAAGCCACAACTACACAGTTGGGGGTTGCCACAGAAACCATGTGGTCCCCAAAGCCTAAAATATTTGCTCTCTGGCCTTTTCCAGAAAACATTTGCTGATCCCCTACTGTAGACCAATACAGGTTTTTTTAAGGTTAATAATATGGTAAATCTTGTGTTTAGAAAGTATCTTTTTTTTTTCTGTCAGACAACAACTATTTTTTTAAAAAAGGAAGGAACAGAAGATAATTGCTGGTGCTGTATACTAGTAGACTAAAATCGACTGATAGAGAAAGGAAGGCAAAGTGTCCAGTGAAGCCTGAACTAGTAATATGGTATTGAGAATAGAGAGAAAGGGAAAATGGAGGGTTATTTTGGAGGTAGACAGTCAGATTTGATGCCCAGTGGGTTGGGGAAAAGTGAAGGATTTATTTATTTATTAAAGATTTTATTTATTTTTTTGACAGAGACACAGCGAGAGAGGGAACACAAGCAGGGGGAGAGGGTCAGAGGGAGAAGCAGGCCTCCCACTGAGCAGGGAGCCCGATGCGGGGCTCGATCCCAGGACCCCGAGATCATGACCTAAGCCGAAGGCAGATGTTTAATGACTGTGCTACCCAGGTGCCCCAACAGTGAAGGATTTAGATACAGGCATTTCTAACTTTGGCAGCTAGGTGGATAGAAAACACAGGAAAAGGAAAAAGAGGAAGATGATGAATTCAAGTTTTGGATACATTCAGTGTGATTGACCTGTGGAGCATCTGGGTGAATGGTGGTAATTGGAAATAGGGCTCTGAAGTACAACTGAAAGATTAGAAAAAATTCCAAAAATTTGGAATTATCAGTATATGGTTGGTCATTGAAGTTTTGGAACTGGTTAAGATTTCCCGGGAAGAGCATGTAGTCAGAAGAGAAGATAGACTCTGAGTACTATGTGTCATTATAAGGGACATAGGCAGAACAAGATGAACTAGCAGAAGAAGCATAGAAAGTGACAGAAAAAAACTGTCCCTTTGGGCTGCCATAACAAAATACCACAGACCAGGTGGAATATAAACAGAAATGTATTTATCACAGTTTTGGAGGCTGGCAAATCCAAAATCATGGCACCAGCAGATTTGGTGTCTGGTGAGGGAAAATTTCTGATTCATGGAAGACTGTCTTTTTGCTGTATCCTCACATGGTGAAGGGCTAGGGAGCTCTTTGGGGTCTCCTGAATAAAGGCACTAATTTCACTTATGACCTAATCACCTCCCAAAGGCCTCACCTCCTAAAACCATCACATTGGGGGATTAGGATTTCAATATAGGAATTTGAGGGGGGACACAAACATTCAATCTATAGCAAAGACAAAAGATTTTTTTTTTTTTAAAGATGTCAAGAAAAAGGAAGTGCTCTGTATCTGAAGTCAGCAAACTTTGTAAAGGGCGAGATAGTAAATATGTTAGTGTTTGTAGACCACATATATACTCTCCTATTCTTTGTTGTTGTTTATTTTAAAACCTTTTAAGAATGTAAAAACCCTTCTTCACCTAAAAAACTAAGAGAATTGGGCACTAGCCATCATTTGCCACACTCCTGCTGTTTGGTGTTAGATGCTTTAGAGGAATCAGCTGATGAAGGAATGAAACGAGTGACATGCTCAGCACCCACCCCCCAACACACACTTGGTATATGATACATATTTTTGTATTTAAAACATACATATATGTTTATGTATGTATGTCTTTAGATATTTAAGGAATGTGGGGCGCCTGGGTGACTCAGTCGGGCATCTGCCTTTGTCACCTGAGCCGAAGGCAGATGCCCAACCGACTGAGCTACCAGGCGCCTCTAACATAACTTTCTTGAAAGATTAAATTTTTTTATCTCCAGATATATGTCCTGAAACTGAACAAAATGGAGCTGTTACCATTTCATGCTGATGTGGAGATTGGCCAGATTATAGAAATCCCCATTGCAATGTATCATGTAAAGGAGAACAAAGAAGTCATCATGTTCACAGATTGCTCTCATTTATTGTTGGATCTGAACATGGATAAGCAAGGAGTCTTTACTCTTCTCAAGGAAGGTAAGAGTAGGCCTTTTATTTTCTCCTTTCTTTGTCATTGAATGAGAAGACCAATCATCAATTCAGGAATACAAATTATAGTCTGAATTCACATATTACCTTTCTTTACAATGCTTTTATTTGTTCTGTCAACTACCTCGTTATAATGTAATTTAGAAACAAAAGCCCAGCAATTGAATAACATGTTCAAAGAAGTGTTGTGGCCATTCCTTCAGCTCATATGAAGGTATTGAGCTCTTTTCCTCTTTCTTTAAATATATCATACCTCTTTCTAGGATGGCTATAGTACCATTATTAAATTTATTCAAAAAAAGTATTTTTTTCTAATAAAAGGAGAATGTGAACAAGCTATCTGTAAAGACTAACATCATTTCCTGTTATTGATTATCGTGTGTGATCGTGATTACCATTGTTTTTTAATCAGTAATAATAGTAGTAGTAGCATATAACATTCACTCAGCATTTACTATTTGCTAGGCTCTATTCTGAATACTTTTCATGTATTAACTCTTTTAATTCTCGCAATACATCTATAACATGGACTTCTGCCTTGCCCTTACTAAGTATACTATATAATATCTCTTTCCTCTTCTCAGTTCTCAAGGTGTGTCTCCTAATTTTTAGGCCCTCACTATCTCTCACCTAGAATATAACAGTATCCTCCTAACTGTTGTTCACCTTTGATAATCCGTGGCTAGGAGGTGGACCTTCATGAAGCTCACTTTTTTTTTTTTAAGATTTTTTTTTAATTTATTTGTCAGAGTGAGAGAGCAAGCACAAGCAGGGGGAGTGGCAGGTAGAGAGAGAAGCAAATTCCCCGCTGAGCAAGGAGCCCGATGCAGGACTTGATCCCAGGACCCTGGGATCATGACCTGAGCCAGAGGCAGATGCTTAACCGCCTGAGCCACCCAAGCATCCCTGAAGCTCACGTTCAATACTACTTTTCTTGCTCAAAAAATGTGAGAGGTTTCTCCTTACCAGTGGAATAGAGCTGAATCCTTTTAGTTTAATGTTCAAGGTCTCTACAAGATAACCCAATCTACTTTTCATAAAGAAATACTACGTCATACTTTGGCTTCCTTTAATTATGGCTCCAGCTAAACAGACTATTTAAGTTAAAATTTCCTGTATAGCTCCTTCATATACTCATGTGTATCTCATTTATATTTCTGTCTTTGCTCATTCATCAGTTTGAGATACTATCTTCTACATATCTAAATTTTCCTTGACCTCTCCAACTAGAAGTAATCTTTCTGTTTTCTAGATCTCTATACTGCTTATCATTTTCTACAAATTCTTTAATTTATGTAAATGTTCACTCTCGCCTTCTAAACTATATATGCCTTGAAGTTAGGATCTTGGCTCATATTTGTATCCTCACTGAACATAAAATTGTGTCTTACATGGTATATATCTGTTAATAGAAGGAACAGATTTTTATATCGATTTGATATAAACTGGGGCCTAGTAGTTAGTGTGCAAGATCAAGATGTTTTTTTTTTAAAAGATTTTATTTATTTATTCATGAGAGATAGAGAGAGAGAGGCAGAGGCAGAGGGAGAAGCAGGCTCCCCGCGGAGCAGGGAGCCCGATGCGGGACTCGATCCCAGGACCCCGGGATCATGACCTGAGCTGAAGGCAGACGCTTAACCGACTGAGCCACCTAGGCGTCCCAAGATCAAGATGTTTTTTAATGTATTAAAATTCTTCTATTTCTGTAGACTGATTCCCTTGAGAACTGACTGCTTATTACCCTAATGAAGTCATGTTTTTGATTTGCAGGTGTTCAAAGACCTGGGCCAACACACTGTTCTAGTATACATATAGCAGCCAAATCTCTAGGCCATACCCTGGTAACAGTGAGTGTGACTGAATCTGAAGAGTACTTGGAGAGCAGTGCCACATTTGCTGCTTATGAACCTCTAAAGGTGAGACATTTCATGGTAAGGAACTGGCATATCTTTTCATGGAACCCACTGTATCCACTTAGAGGCTTCCCAGCTATCTGTGATTTCTATTAAAGATCAGTTATATTTGTGTTCTCTTTATTTACCAGCTCTGTCGTCAAACCTGAATATCAGGGAGTTTACTCCCTCATGTTTCTGCCACAGAATATCTTTAAGTTGTATCAGCAAGTTTTAGATATTCCCCTTTATTTCTTCTTTTTTATTGAGGTATAAAATATGTATAGTAAGGTACATAAAGTATACTAATCTTAAGGTACTATTTGATTTTTTACATGTGTATATATCCCTGTAAACACGACCCTGAATAAGATACTGAATATTAGTGTGGCCTCTTTTGAAAAACTCTGAAAGAAAACTTTATCATAGAGGGGGAGATTAGTCATCTTTAACCTTTATACTTAAGGATTTTCAGCATAACAATCATTATTTAAGGCCTTAAGGATTGGTCCATTATAATTGGGACATTATGACAGGTGGCAGTTCAAAACAAAAGTTGAGCCTGGTATGCATTCATATTTGAATCCTTCAGGAGCTAAAATTGATGTCTACAGGTTCTTGCTAATAGATACTGACAAATCCTGAGTCAGTGTCTCTTGGGATAAGGAGGCACCCATAGGGGGAAAAATAAACACTAATGAAAGAAGCAAGGTAAGTTATTAATTTTAAAATTTGCATTTTAAGTTGGCCTTATTGCACATTATGTAGCATAAGTATTAAACATACGGTTCAAGCATATTTCATTTGTTCTCAGTGGATGAATCATCTTAGTTACCTAATTAAGTGAAAGTACTTGGCTGTGGCTCATTGTCATTTCATTAGGTTTCTTATTTTATGATTATTCCCAGCCTTATTTTGTATTTATTGAGTGTCCACAGATCAGATCTCCCCTGGATGAAAACTGCCCTTAAAGGAAAGGAAGTAAGATGATGATTTTCCTTTTCTATGTAGTGCTTTGGTCATATATTTTTCCTTTTACCTGCTTAAAAGAATATGTGTTTTCTACCTTTGTTATCAATATTATGTTTCAGTATGTGGTATAGTTCTCAATTTGTCCTTTTACATATCAGTCCAATTCAGTTGATCTGGTTAATTTTGGACTATGTATCTAGGAAAAAGGAATAATCTCTGTCCTGCTTTCTGAGGGAGGCCTTCTGTGAAACCTTTAATTCTATTTCTTCTATTAGAGGCTTGAATGGCACACTGTACTGTGCCTTTTTGTGATGCCCATTATACTCTTTACCTACTTCAAATCTGTCTTTCCCAAACCGTGAGCTCCACTGTGAGGCAATAACTTATTTGTCTTTTTATTACTATATCCCCAATGGGCCATTAGTGAATACTTGTTGAATTGAATTATATACACATTTAAGAGAATACTGCCATTAGACATAGGAATGTTTTTTTTGTTTTTTTAAAGATTTTATTTATTTGACAGAGACAAAGCTAGAGAGGGAACACAAGCAGGGGGAGTGGCAGAGGGAGAGGGAGAAGCAGGCTTCCTGCTGAGCAGGGAGCCCGATGCGGGGCTCGATCCCAGGAGCCTGGGATCACGACCTGAGCCGAAGGCAGATGCTTAACAACTGAGCCACCCAGGAGCCCCTAGACATAGGAATGTTTAATTTTAATAGTATTC